GAGTCTGCAATAGGCCGGTTGGCCTGTGCATGGCAGCTCCTGTCGAGAGTTACTACCACTCTCTATCATCCACGAATCTATCTAGCCTCCTTTTGAAACTTTCCAGATTTCCAGAACTTACTACAAAGTTGCTAAGCTTGTTCCACTCGTCCACCACCCTATTTGTGAACCAGTTTCTTCTTATCTCCCTCCTAAACCTAAACTTATCCAACTTAATTCCGTTGCTCCGAGTCCTATCCTGCTCGGATATTATAAGAACTTTACCTATATCCCCTTTATTGATTCCTTTCACCCACTTGAATACTTCTATCATATCTCCCCGCACTCTTAGTCTTTCTAGGGAATGCAAGTTTAGTTTCTTTAACCTATCCTGATATGGAAGGTTTCTAAGTCCCGGAATCATTTTCGTCATTCTTCGCTGCACCGACTCTAGTGAATTGATATCCATTCTATAATAAGGGCACCAGAACTGAACCGCATATTCGAGGTGCGGCCTGACTAGCGCAAGATATAGTTGCAATAAGACCTCTGCACTCTTATTACTTACACTTCTAGATATAAAACCCAATACTCTGTTTGCCTTATTTCGAACATTAACGCACTGTTTTCTAGGCCATAGGTCCGGGCTTACAAGTACCCCTATGTCTCTTTCACAAGTCGACTTCTCTAGGTTGATGTTGTTAAGGCTGTATACATTGTCAGTATTTGTTCTTCCAATATTAAGTACGCTGCACTTGCTGGTGTTGAATTTCATTTGCCATTTTTCAGACCACCCCTGCAGTTTATTTAGATCCTCCTGTAATGCTGATCCCAGTATCTAGATCGTTTATGTAGATTATGAACAAGAGTGGGCCTAGTACTGACCCCTGGGGAACCCCACTGGTTACACGGCCCCACTCAAATTTTACACCATCTACGCTGACCCTCTGATTCTATCGGTGAGCCATGATTTTATCCAATTTAAAACTTTCCCCTCGATACCATGAGACTTAATTTTTCTCAGAAGCCTCTGATGCGGTACTCTGTCAAATGCTTTGCTAAAGTCTAAGTAAATATCATCGTAATTTTCGTCATTATCTACTACCTCGAAGAATTTCCTGAAAAACGTCAGCAGATTTGTTAGACAAGATTTTCCCTTTGTAAACCCATGTTGCGAGTCGTAGATTAATTTGCTTTTTTCTAGATACGATCGGATGCTATCTGCTATAATTGATTCAAGAAATTTCCCCACTACTGACGTCAAACTGATCGGCCGGTAATTTGACGTTGATGCTCTGTCTCCCTTTTTGAATATGGGTACTACATTTGCCTGTTTCCACAAGTCTGGCACAACTCCGGTGTCTAATGATTTTGTAAATAAATTTACGAGGGGTCCGCTAATCTGTTCCCTACACTCTTTCAAGACTCGAGGGAAAATTTCATCCCGCCTTGGGGATTTTGTCTTCTTTAGTTTATTTGTCCTCTTAAGAACATCCTCTTTCCTGATAGTGATATTCTTTAATTTCTCTTCTTCCTTTCCCCTACATATCAGTTCCACCTCTGGAATTTCCTCGCGAATTTCTTCTGTGAAAACTGATAAGAAGTAGTTGTTCAATGCTTTGCTTATTTCTTCACTGCCATTTATCACTTCTCCCCTCCCTGACTTTAAAGGTCCAACTTTGTCCTTGACTTTTGTTCTATATACCTGGAAAAATCCCTTGGGATTCGCCTTGGATTCTCTTGCTATTTTGACTTCATAGTCTCTCTTTGCTTTCCTTACATTTTTCTTAACATTCCTAGATAGTTCATTATACCTATTTCTGAGCTGCTCCTTCCCTCCCTTTAATTTCTTATAAATTCCTTTCTTTATTCCTATGTCATGTTTAAGTTTTCTGGTCATCCACCTTGGCTCATTCTTATTTGACCTAATTTTTCTGTATGGTATATTTTGTTCTTGTGCTTTATATAGTATACTAGTAAATATATTATAGTCATGATCAATTGTTGTGTCATCTATAACCACACCCCTTCCTACTGGGGACTGACGTGACTGTTCCCAGGTGACCTCACCTAGGTACCTTCTTAATCCCTGATAATCCGCCAACCGAAAGTTTGGGACTCTGACCATATTGTCAATGTTTTTTGTTTCCCAATTTAGGGTGAACCTGATTTCTCTGTGATCACTGTTACCTAGTTCTTCCCCTACTGTGATATCTCTGGTAATATTTTCTTTATTTGTTAATACTAGGTCTAATATATTGTCACCTCTAGTAGGTTCTGTAATTAGTTGTTTCAAAAAATTGTCCTGTACTGCGTCTAGGAAGTCTTCAGATTCATAGTCACCTACAATGTTGTCCCAGTCAATATTTCTGAAGTTGAAATCCTCCATAATGCACAGGTTGTTGTATTTTGCTGCCCTACTCATTCCCTGCCATATGGGTTGAGCTGCTTCTTTCCCAAGACTTGGGGGTCTGTAAATCACTCCCATAATTAGTTTTTCTCTTCCTTCCGCAATTTCTACCCATACAGACTCGGTTCCTATTTCGCCCTTTATTGAATTATTAATACAACATTTTAATGTATCCCTGTCCTTGTGAAAAAGGTTCTACCCTTCTATGTGGTACTCTGAAAAAAAGTTCTTGCTCTCCATATTCATCCAAGTTTCGGTGATTGCTATGAAGTCTACATTCTCGGTACATACAACCGCTCTCAGCAAGTCTATTTTATTTCTAACGCTCCTACTGTTTGTATAGTATACATTTAAGCCTACCCTTCCCTGGTCCTGTTTTACCCCTTGTCCTGAGTAACTAATTTTACTTCCCAGGACCTGCTTGTTTTTTTACTCCCACTTTCCCCGACCTCTCTCTAGTGGCGAAACCCCCCCTTTGGAGTGACAATTTCACGCTCCAGGGATGCAGACAACGTCTTTACCCCCGCACGAGACAAGTGTACTCCGTCACGACTGTACAGGTAGTCGTTGCCATAGAATCGTTGCCAGCTATCAATGAATGCCCAACCATTGTTTGCACAATGTTTTTCCAGTCGGCAATTTATAGCAATTGCCCTGGACAGCCATTCACGACCAACCCCTCTTCTAGGCAAGACACCACATACTATCGGGATCCCTCCCCTATCTCTAATCTTCCCATGCGCCTCCCTATACCTCTTGAAAAGTTCCTCACTCCTAACCTTTCCTATGTCGTTCCTCCCACACTAAGACACACTACTGGATTTGTACCCTCCCCTGACAAAACCCTGTCTAACCTCTCAGCTACATGCCCTATCCCAGCCCCAGGAAAACACACCCTAGTCCTACGTTTCTTATCTCTTGTACAAAAAGTCCTATCTAAAAACCTGACCTGGCTGTCCCCAACTACCACGACCTTACCTCTGGGCAGGGTTTGTACAACTGCCCTTTCCTCTACCTGCACCACACTTTCCTGCCTCTTCTCTTCCTCGCCAGCTTCCTCCAGCACCTGGTAGGGGTTCCTACATTCCACGCCCTGGTCAGCTTTCCTGAGCCTGACCCTAGTCCCCTTGGAGACAACCACTCTCCACGCCTGCTCCTCCTTCGCAGGTGTCCTGCTAGGCAGGACACCTACCTGAAAGAGTTCAGTCCTGAGGGCTTCATTTTCCCCCTTTAGAGTGTCAACCTCACTCCTCAACTGCCCCAGCTGCCTTAGCAGAGTGGCCAAGAGGTCGTCTTTCCCCACACTACTCTCCTCTTCCCCCAAGACACAACGATCCAAGGCGGCCATTTTCCTTGGTCACTACGGGAGAACTTGGGAGCACGTCCTTCTCCAAGCTGGGTCAGGTAGCAACTGAGCTGGGTCAGGTAGCAACTGAATACTGCAGGCGTGGAGTATTGCAGGGGTGGAGTACTGCAAGGTTAGAGTACTGCAGGGGTGGAGTACTACACGGGTGGAGTACTGCAAAGTTAGAGTACTGCAGGGGTGGAGAACTGTAAGGGTGGAATACTGCAGGCGTGGAGTATTGCAGGGGTGTAGTACTGCAAGGTTAGAGTACTGCAGGGGTGGAGTACTACACGGGTGGAGTACTGCAAAGTTAGAGTACTGCGGGGGTGGAGTACTGCAGGAGTAGATTACTGTAGAGGTGGAATACTGCCGAGTTGGAGTGCAGGGGTCGAGTATATACTGCAGGGAAGGAATATATGGGTGGAATACTGCAGGAGTGGGGTACTGCAGTGATGGAGTACTGCAGTGATGGAGTACTGCAGGGTTCGAGTATTGCAGGGGTGGAATACTGCAGTGATGGAGTACTGCAGGGTTCGAGTATTGCAGGGGTGGAATACTGCAGTGATGGAGTACTGCAGGGTTCGAGTACTGCAGGGTAGGAATACTGCAGTGATGGAGTACTGCAGGGGTGGAGTACTGTAACTGTAAGGGTAGATTACTGTAGGGGTGGAGTACTGTAGGGGTGGAGTATTGCAGGGTTGGATTGCATGGATGGAGTGCTGGGGTAGAGTACTGCAGGGGTGGAGCACTGTTGCGGTGGAGTACTGTAGGGGTGGAGTACTGTTGCGGTGGAGTACTGCTGGGTTGGATTGCATGGATGGAGTGCTGAGTTCGAGTAGTGCAGGGGTGGAGTACTGCAACTCTACACGCAAGATAGCTAACATCTAGTTGTGGTATAATTGCATAACAAACTGAAGAGTTAAGCTTTTACACAATAATTATAATGTATATAAAATTGACAGAATTGTCTCTGAACCTAAGCTAAGGCAATTACAGGTAGAACATCTTACAGTGTGAGAACTGATTTGCCACCAGTATAATTATGTGCACTACCTTCACATTTCTGGTCTTCACATTTCTGAGAACTAAACCTTCAACCTACAGTGTTTGTTGATCAAAAGTATCAAGTTTTACTGTTAGGTGTGGAGATGGTCGCTCTTTGTGAGTACCCCGGGGTGGGAACTACATCAAAGGGAACCTTAATTGATATACGAGTAGATAATGTTAGCGTTTATATGAATGATAAGTGATAGTTCCTTTTGACAGGTGACCGAGGACCAACAGGGCTCGCTGGTGCTGACGGCAGTAAAGGAGAGCCAGGAAGGACTGGAAGTCCCGGCAGTGATGGAGCCAAAGGAGAGCTAGGGTTACCAGGCATTACTGGTCTTATTGGCAAACCTGGAGTTGTTGGACTGCCTGTAAGATACTGTTTAGTTCTTAATTACAATTATATTAACCTTACATGTTTCTTCCTAACTTGTGTAAGTAAACTTAGAACAATGTTTTAGCAGCAAGGTTGTGGTGGTGCCGTAGTAGCGAACCCTGTTTACAAGTTTACAAAAGTGGATGAAGCTTTCCGTATTGTAAGACACAGAAAAGCGTGTTTTTAATATGACCATACCGAGTGATTGGAAAAAGTTCATGTTGAATTACTGTTTTGATAACCTAAGACGTGAGCGTTCTGATCTTCAAGCTAAGATAGACCACAAATTGGCACTCCTTATTAGGAATAGTGATTGGACTAAGGATGCCAATCACAACTGTGTAGTGAATCTCTCCCCTAAACAACTAGACAATGATACCTTGTGTGCCCTCGGTTATGGTTTAAGTTTTGATGGCTCTAACAAGGGAGTCAACAGTGTTGACATAGCCAGAGCATTTTGCAATTTGGAGAAATTCAGTAATTTGACAAGTGAAGAAGTGAACATGTGTAAAGGTGTTGTGTATGCATCTATGTCTAAGCCTTGTGTTCCAAACTGTCCAGAAAGATTCACCAAAGCAATCCAAGCCCTTAAGAAAAATAAGGATGGATCTACATGTCACTAAAGCAGATAAAGCCAACACAGTCGTGATTTTAAACAAAGATGATTATATTTCCAAATTGAATGACCTTTTATGTGATGCTGAAACATATTCTAAGCTATAAATAATCCTCTCAACACAGTTAACACCCAGTTCAACAAAAAACTTAAGTCTCTATTGAGAGGCAAAGCTACTCTCATTAAACATTGTACTTCAACGTCCCCTCCACTGCCATACATGTACGGTTTAATCAAGACCCACAAGCCTAATAACCCAGCAAGACCCATCATTAGCTCAGTTGGGTCAATCTCTCATAAATTATCTACATGGTTAATTTCTTTACTAAATCCCCTAGTTGGCAATATTTCTAACTCTAATATTAAGAATAATATGGATCTGGTTGATAAACTCAATAACTTACACATTATTTATGATGTTAAACTGGTCAGTTTTGATGTAACGTCACTCTTTACAAAGGTCCCAGTTGATAATTTACTGGAGTTCCTCATAGATTCCCTGGAGAATATTTCATTGCCCGTCTCGAAAGACGACTTCATCGAACTCATCAACTATGCATTAAGGATTGTAAATTTGAATTCAATGGGGAATATTATGCTCAAAAATTTGGTATGGCAATGGGTAATCCACTCTCACCAGTATTAAGCAACCTATATATGTAATTTTTTGAAAAGAAACTATTAAGTAATATTTTACCACCTTCAGCAATCTGGTTTATATATGTAGATGATGTATTATAAGAACATAAGAAAATAAGGAGTCTGCAATAGGCCGGTTGGCCTGTGCATGGCAGCTCCTGTCGAGAGTTACTACCACTCTCTATCATCCATGAATCTATCCAGCCTCCCTTTGAAACTTTCCAGCGTTCCAGCACTTACTACAAGGTTGCTAAGCTTGTTCCACTCGTCCACCATCCTATTTGTAAACCAGTTCCTTCCTATCTCCCTCCTAAACCTAAACTTATCCAACTTGAATCCGTTGTTCCGAGTCCTATCCTGCTCGGATATTATAAGAACTTTATCTATATCACCTTTATTGATTCCTTTCACCCACTTGAATACTTCTATCATATCTCCCCGCACTCTTCGTCTTTCTAGGGAATGCAAGTTTAGTTTCTTTAACCTATCCTGATATGGAAGGTTTCTAAGTCCCGGAATCATTTTCGTCATTCTTCGCTGCACCGACTCTAGTGAATTGATATCCATTCTATAATAAGGGCACCAGAACTGAACCGCATAATCGAGGTGCGGCCTGACTAGCGCAAGATATAGTTGCAATAAGACCTCTGCACTCTTATTACTTACACTTCTAGATATAAAACCCAATTCTCTGTTTGCCTTATTTCGAACATTAACGCACTGTTTTCTAGGCCGTAGGTCCGGGCTTACTAGTACCCCTAGGTCTCTTTCACAAGTCGACTTCTCTACGCTGATGTTGTTAAGGATGTATACATTGACAGTATTTGTTCTTCCAATATTAAGTACGCTGCACTTGCTGGTGTTGAATTTCATTTGCCATTTTTCAGACCACCCCTGCAGTTTATTTAGATCCTCCTGTAATGCATTTGCATCCTGCCCTGAATTAATTTGCCGCCCTATTTTGGTGTCATCCGCAAACTTGCTTATGTCATTGCTGATCCCAGTATCTACATTGTTTATGTAGATTATGAACAAGAGTGGGCCTAGTACTTACCCCTGGGGAATCCCACTGGTTACAAAATCATTAGACACTGGAGTTGTGCCAGAGTTGTGGAAACAGGCAAATGCAGTACCCATATTCAAAAAGGGAGACAGAGCATCAGCGTCAAATTACCGGCCGCTCAGTTTGACGTCAGTAGTGGGGAAATTTCTTGAATAAATTATAGCAGATAGCATCCGATCGCATCTATAGAAAAGCAAATTAATCTACGACTCTCAACATGGGTTTACAAAGGGAAAATCTTGTCTAACAAATCTGCTAACGTTTTTTAGGAAAGTCTTCGAGGTAGTAGATAATGACGAAAATTACGATGTTATTTACTTGGACTTAGCAAAGCATTTGACAGAGTACCGCATCAGAGGTTTCTGAGAAAAATTAAGGCTCATGGTAACGAGGGGAAAGTTTTAAATTGGATAAAATCATGGCTCACCGATAGAACGCAGAGGGTCAGCATAGATGGTGTTAAATCTGAGTGGGGCCGTGTAACCAGTGGGGTTCCCCAGGGGTCAGTACTAGGCCCACTCTTGTTCATAATCTACATAAACGATTTAGATACTGGGATCAGCAGTGACATAAGCAAGTTTGCGGATGACACCAAAATAGGGCGGCAAATTAATTCAGGGCAGGATGCAAATGCATTACAGGAGGATCTAAATAAACTGCAGGGCTGTTCTGAAAAATGGCAAATGAAATTCAACACCAGCAAGTGCAGCGTACTTAATATTGGAAGAACAAATACTTATAATGTATACAGCCTTAACAACATCAACCTAGAGAAGTCGACTTGTGAAAGAGACCTAGGGGTACTTGTAAGCCCGGACCTTCGGCCTAGAAAACAGTGCGTTAATGTTCGAAATAAGGCAAACAGAGTATTGGGTTTTATATCTAGAAGTGTAAGTAACAAGAGTGCAGAGGTCTTATTGCAACTATATCTTGCGCTAGTTAGGCCGCACCTCGATTATGCGGTTCAGTTCTGGTGCCCCTATTATAGAATGGATATAAATTCACTAGAGTCGGTGCAGCGAAGAATGACAAAAATGATTCCGGGACTTAGAAACCTTCCATATCAGGATAGGTTAAAGAAACTTAACTTGCATTCCCTAGAAAGACGAAGAGTGCGGGGAGATATGATAGAAGTATTTAAGTGGGTGAAAGGAATCAATAAAGGGATATAGATAAAGTTCTTATAATATCCGAGCAGGATAGGACTCGGAGCAACGGATTCAAGTTGGATAAGTTTAGGTTTAGGAGGGAGATAGGAAGAAACTGGTTCACAAATAGGGTGGTGGACGAGTGGAACAAGCTTAGCAACTTTGTAGTAAGTGCGGGAACTCTGGAAAGTTTCAAAAGGAGGCTAGATAGATTCATGGATGATAGAGAGTGGTAGTAGATCTCGACAGGAGCATGCACAGGCCAACCGGCCTATTGCAGACTCCTTATTTTCTTATGTTCTTATGTTCTTATGTACACGACCCCACTCAGATTTAACACCATCTACGCTGACCCTCTGCGTTCTATCGGTGAGCCATGATTTTATTCAATTTAAAACTTTCCCCTCGATACCATGAGCCTTAATTTTTCTCAGAAGCCTCTGATGCGGTACTCTGTCAAATGCTTTGCTAAAGTCTAAGTAAATAAAATCGTAATTTTCGTCATTATCTACTACCTCGAAGAATTTCCTAAAAAATGTCAGCAGATTTGTTAGACAAGATTTTCCCTTTGTAAACCCATGTTGAGAGTCGTAGATTAATTTGCTTTTCTCTAAATGCGATCGGATGTTATCTGCTATAATTGATTCAAGAAATTTCCCCACTACTGACGTCAAACTGATCGGCCGGTAATTTGACGCTGATGCTCTGTCTCCCTTTTTGAATATGGGTACTACATTTGCCTGTTTCCACAAGTCTGGCACAACTCCGGTGTCTAATGATTTTGTAAATAAGTTTAGGAGGGGTCCGCTAATCTGTTCCCTACACTCTTTCAAGACTCGAGGGAAATTCAAGACTCTGGCCATGTAATGAGGACCTAAAAGCTTTTCTCCCACAACTTAACAACTTAGCCCCCTCGATCAAATTCACTGTGGAATTAGAACATGACTGTTAATTGCCATTCCTAGACTGTCTGATAAACAGAATAGGTAACACCTTTAGGTTCAGTATTTATAGGAAACCTACTAGTATGTGTTCATACATTCATTATTATTCTGCCCACCATAATAGAGTCAAACAGTCAGTATTTTCATCAATGTTTTTACGTGCTTTGAGAATTTGCAGCCCGGAATTCATTGATGAGGAATATAAATATATCTATAATATTGGCTTGAACCTTAAGTACCCTAGATCTTTCATAGACAAATGCCTTAACATTACTAAGAAATCTTTTTATAGAACCGATCCCAAGCCCACCCATGACCATAAGAATCTCTTAGTATTACCATTTCACAAAAATTTCTCTCAAATTCCTTTACAACTTAAAACCTGGAACGTCAATGTGGCATTTAAAAACTCATGCACTGTTAAACAAATGTTAATCAAGAACTCCCCCAACAATACAGGCGGCTGCATTATAAGGTTCCTTGCAAGGAATGTAATATGTTTTACTTAGGACAAACAGGTAAAGATCTTGTAACTAGACTTAAACAACATACATATAGTGTTAGGACAGGCCAGGAATCCAATGC